ATTTTAAGATCTTAAGATTCGACTGTTCAGTCTCTGCAGGTTTGCAGCTTTTTAGATTGTAAGAAATTAAGCTTTTACATTTAAAGTCTCAGAATAATAGAATCATAAAATCTTACAGTTTTACAATCTTAGGACACTTTAATCCTAAAATCTTTAAATCCTCAAATTTCGCTTTTCCTCCAAAATCCATAAACTAGTACAATCTTAAAATCTTTTTTAAGATTGTACTAGTTTACGGTAGTTTTTGGCTTTGCGAGGTTAAGCGCGTAAGATTCTAAAATTTGCGGATATAAAGTTTTTACGATTATATGACAGACTTCAAGTTAGAACATCATTTGGTGAATCCATGTTCTATCTGAACCCGGGTTAGAACATATTTGTGCGTGCGACATTTCTCTGGGTATTTTTGTTTTAGAACATCCAAGATCGAACATCAACAATGGCCAAGTATATACACTGCGACTTTGTGTGGTACAAGCTGGTGAACCATTGTTGCATGCTGCGTTTGAAGGGGGTTGCTTCCTCACCAAGGCTGAACAACTATGCATTTCTGTTGCAGTGATTTGCGTTTCATGGTGTCTCGCAACATGACGGCTTTGTTTGCAATGTATGTAGAAAACACCTGCCTTTTGAAGAATTGTGTTTAGCTTGAGGCGTGGGCATTTTAGTCGCAGCTGCGCTGTTAATCGTAAGAGGTCAGCTTCCTATTCCTCTCTCGTGCGTCGGCGCTCAATTTAATCTCAGGAACTGCTGCCTGCAAAAGAAGATCTCAGGAACAGCTGCCTGCAAAATGTCACCCGACCAGTCCACAAGCATAAATGTTTTACAGAAACTGCTGCCTGAAAAATGTCATCCGGCCAGTCCGCAGTGAGCGCAAGAGTCTTCTCAACGCCGGGGGGGGGATCTGGGAAGTGCCGGGCCTGGAAATCGACAGCTTTCAGGTCGGGGGTTGTTTAGGGCTAACGTTATTGGCGGACTGCTCTTATTGAAGTAGGCTTGAAACTTTCGGGTTTGTTCAGGGTTGAGGGTTTGGGGGTTGCAACTTATGGAGGTGGGTTGTTTAGGGTTCAACCCGGACAATGGCTTGAGGCGGGGATGTTAGTTGCAGCTGTGTTGTCTAGGCCTAGAGGTCAGCTTCCTATTCGCTTCAAGTGCGGCAGCACTCATTTCACTCTCACCGGGGGTGGGGTGGGGGGGTGCGAGCCAGGGAAGTGTCGGGCCTGGAACTCGGCAACTGGTTGGGGTCTGTTGCTCGTTTTTGTGGGCGTGAAACTTTTGGGTTTGTTCAGGGTTGAGGCTAGAGAGTTACGACATCTGGAGGCGGATTGTTTAGGGTTCAACCCGGGCAACCGTGCATCTGCCGACCTTCTAACTGTGGGTCCCGCTAATTGAAATTGGAGGAAACACATACTTTCTGACAAACAGTTTTGGCTTAAGGCGTGGGGGGTTTCAGTTGCAGCTGTGTTGTCTAGACGTCAGCTTCCTATTCGTTTCAAGTGCGGCAGCACTCATTTTACTCTCACCGGGGGTGTGGGGGGGGGTGCGAACCAGGGAAGTGTCGGGCCTTGAACTCGGCAACTGGTTGGGGTCTGTTAAGGCTAGAACCATGGGCGGACTGCTCGTTTTTGTAGGCGTGAAATTTTTGGGTTTGTTCAGGGTTGAGGCTAGAGAGTTACAACGTCTGAAGAGATTGTTTAGGGTTCAACCCGGGCAACCGTGCATCTGCCGATGTTCTAATTGTGTGCCCCGTTAATTGAAACAAGAAGAAAACACATGCCTTTTGAAGAATTGTGTTTAGCCTGAGGCGTGGGGATTTTAGTTGCAGCTGTGGTTTTGGCCCTAAAAAGCCCCCAACGTCAAAGTTGCCGATGTCCAGGCCAGGTTCCTCCCTCCCTTCCAGCTGGTGAGAGTAAAATTAGTGCTGCTGCACTGCACTAGAAAATAGGAAGCTCACCTGTAGGTCTAGACAACACAGGTGCAACTGAAACCCCAACGCCTTACGCCAAAACGTTTTCCTCCTATTTCAATTAGCGGGACCCACAGTTAGAGCATCGGCAGATTCACGCTTGTCCGGCTTTAAACGCGATCTTGGCCGGGGAGTGGGGTCGGGGGAACCTGGAAAGCGTCGGGCCTGGAAATCGGGAACTTTCAAGGGTTGAGGGCTGAAACATATGGTGGGGGGGTTTGTTTGGTTCAACCCGGACAACCGTGCATCTGCCGACGTTCTAACTGTGGGTCCCGTTAATTGAAATAGGAAGAAGAAGGGTTCGGCGGCTTTATCTACCTACCTACCTCTCTCTCCACCTATCTATCTATCTATCTATCTACCTATCTCTCCACCTATCTATTTATCTATCTATCTATGTATTTATCTATCTATTTATTTATTTATCTATCTATGCTGCTGCACCTGCCGCGAAGTCTTTGCCTTACATTGCCAAAGTGCTGCGCCTGCCACGGAGTCAGTACCCGACCTTGCGAAAGTGCTGCGCCTGCCACGAGAAACCTGTATTTGACCTTGCCAATTTGCTGCGCCTGCCACGGAGTCTGTGCCCAACCTTGTGAAAGTGCTGCGCCTGCCGCGAAATTTGTACTTGACCTTGCGAAAGTGCTGCGCCTACCATGCAATCTGCACCTGGCCTTGCGAAAGTGTTGCGCCTGCTACGAAACATGTCCTTGGCCTTGCGAAAGTGCTGCGTCTGCCACGCAATTGAATCCTTGCGAAACCTACGCGCGGCTCTCCGAGACGGTTCCTACAGACCTTTCCGAGCCCGCATCCGTACAGGCGTCGCAGCCGACGTGGTTTGCGCACTGTCCAGAAGCCCAGCTCACGCACAGCTCAGCGTTGTCTGCATGGAGGAGACGCTCAAAAAACCTTCCAAAACTGCTCAGTCAAACGCAACGTGTCCTGTCATGGTCTGCGCTTGGCTGGCGGCGTCGGGCGGCCTGGTAAGTTCCCGAGTTTCTATTCCACGCCGTGTTTGTTTGATTTGTTTTTCCTTCCTTATTTCTATTTGATTTGCCATCCCGTTTCATTTCTTCATTTCATTTCAACGATTTTCTATAGTTTCCTCTCATTCCTCTTCATTTCACTTCCTCGTCCTTCAGTTCACTTCCTCCTTCCCCCAACTCCTTCATCTTCGCAACTGAGATGATGGCTCAGTGGCCGGATTTAGATGCTGGCCCGAAACAGCGGGCCGCCGGGAAACCTGGAACTCATGTCTTTGAAGTATTTCTATTTCTCGCTTCACTTCACGAATTTTCCATTTGAAGTTTTCCCCGTCAGCTACCTTCATTTCCCGTCACTTCAGGTCACTTCATTGCATTTCCACATGTTCCCTTCAGGTTCCTTCAATTCCCTGCTTCACTTGCGGCGGCAGCCTCAAGAACGCTCTTGCCCTGGCCCGCCACGAGACAGAGAGAAACAAAGAACCGCCGCCGCTTTGCATAGCGAGCGGTGCTGGAAGAAGTTCGAAAATGAGCTTGCCCGGCACAGCTAGACACCATTGGCATTTGTTCCCAAAAGTCACCGCTTTGCATCCCCAGCATTCCCACGCAGGCCATGGCACCCCGGTTGAAATCTGAGTCGGCAAAATGAGGGAGACGAGGAGGATGTGATCATGAGGATAGTGCGCATCGCGTCCGCTGCATCACCAGCCCAAAGCAAAAAGCAAGGAAGCATCGCCGCTTGGCATCCTCAGCATAGTTCAACTCATGAACTGCACTTGGATGTGCTCACTGCCGCAGGCCCGCCCACCACAGCCAACACTTCCAGCGCGTCTCCCCTTTTCACAAGTTGGCGGATTTGTCTTGGGTTTTGACCTTGGGAATGGTAATGTGTTAGGCCGTGAACAACTCTGGAGGTTGATGCTGATCCGGAGGATGACAGTAAAGAGGCTGTAGCTGCGGTGGCCGACAGTCCTGGTGCTGCTGTCCAGGCGCCTGGTTGACCGATGGATACAGTACAGCACGGAATTGAGGCTTGGGCCCATTTGCCTGGGCTCATCATTTTACACGTGGAATAAGCCCAGAAGCAGAATTAATCAGTTTTTTAGTTTCGGGTTGCCGGCAGGCAAGATGCAGCGCTGCTGCTGCAACGAGCTCGGCATTGAAGGCGGTTCACCAGTGCAAGGCTGGGCCTTGGACCAACTTGCTAGAGGTCGGCGGTTTGTTCAGCTCACGACACGGGCCTGAGTTGGGTGGCTTCTTGAATGTCGTGCGCAGGCGTATTTGGTGAGCGCAAAAACTGGTTATGGCTGTGAGGAGGCCGTTCGAGGCATGTGCCGCTCAGATGCAAAGGTGAGGGCTGGTCAAGACCAGGCCAAGATGTTGTGTGATTCTTTGGCATGTAGAAGGAGTCCACCTGTGCTGCCTTCGGCTTTCGCCAACCGCGAGGCGGAACACGCTTGATTTTCTAACGAGAAGGATGCCCACTGTAAGCACATCGAGCTGGAGCTCAACAACTCAGAAAGCGTTGGTGCCAGGTCGGGTCGCAGAGTTCAACCGGCGGAGATCAGCTTTGATTTTTGCACCCAAAAATCTGGAGGAGACACGGATGCAGGCTGTCGTGGAAAGCGATTGTGAGCTGCCCCTTTGCTTGCCATCGTGGACAAAGTCCTGCGCAAATGGCGCACTACTGTGAGAAGACATTTGCAAAGCTCGCTCAGTAAGAAAGTGGACTTGAGCTACCGCGAAAAGGATTGGTGCAAGGGATACGCGGCGGAGGGGAACTGGGTTAAGACTCCCCAAACAAGCAGGTGCGTTTTCAAGCAAATGATCCTTATTGTAGGCAAGTTGACTTTGTGAATGTTGGGTCTTTTGAATTACGGAAAGACGCGGGAAAACTACAGGAAATTACGATAAGACTACGGCCTACGGGGAGACGACGGAGAGAGACTGCAAGATTACCAGTCAAAACGAAGACAACGAAAGGATTCGGACATATTCCAGTTTGGCACATAAGGGTTTGGCGGCAGCTTACGTAGAACTGTCCGGCGCAGGCCAATCCAAGCGCGTCAGAGGACCTGCAGTGAGCGCTGAGGCTTCGCTGTTTTGACTTCTTGGCCGGTGCTGCTTTGCGTGGTTTTTTGCTTTGCCACGGTCTGAGCCTGTCTGTTCACTTGCCTCACTTGAGTTTGTGTGGAAGAACTGCCCCGCCGCAGGCAGAGATAAGGTGGCAAGACCAGCCGAAGGCGAACCGGGGAACGCAGGCACCTCTGTTGCTGAGTAAACCCTGCCAGCATGGTCGGTTGGGAAGCGATCGAATTTGAGGTGTTCTGGGCAGCACGGTGCTCCACATGAATATGGCATGTCCATTGAACTTTTGGGCTTGCTTATGCTGAATGAGAGACTGCTCAGAAATTGTTGGGCCTTCACTTGCACTACCCTGGATTGCCCAGTTGAACACCACACTTATGCCATATAGAAGGAGCATGCAAACATGCCCGTCAACTTCTCTGGAGCGAATGTTTCAGGGTTTTAGGGGATGCCTTGACATGCGGAGTTTGCAGCCAGGGAATCGGCTTCAGCTTCCCCTCTAGCCAGGAACACACCAGTGCGCCAGCAAGTTCTGCCGGAGCGATTGGCCCGCCGCTCAGGCAAAGAAAAATTCGAAGGTTTTAAATCATCAGCCCCTAGAACCATGCTTGAAATTTAAGGGCTATCGCCCAGCGCCGGCTTCCCCTTCAAACATCTTTCCCTGGAAAATCCAAGATCAAAGCGACGGCGCGTGGCAGGCCCCGGGTGCTTGGCTGTTTTGTGTGGTTTGAAAGGGGGGGGGGGGGAAATTTAGCCCCCATCTGAGAAGGCTCCGCCAAGGATGCTTTTCAGGCGACGCTGAGCGTGCTGCTTGTATTTTAGCACCTTTGAAGCACCCCCAACGGCGCCGATGACAGCAATGATGATCACCCATGATGTCGATGGAAAGTCATCATAGCACCCCGTGCAGCTCCAACGCTCTCTAACGCCAAACGTTGATGATAATCATCACTTGTCATCCCCAACTTCAGTGTCGATGATAAGCATCACTATGCATCCTCAGCATCACCAGGGGTCATGATGATACTCGTGACAAGCGTCTGCTCTAACGGGACACCTGAAACGTCTATGAGACAGATATGGGCGACGACGATGACGACGATGAGCAGCGTGATGTTGATGATGCTGATGATGACGAATCATCCCTTCGCATCCCCAACATCACCAGCAGGGATGATGATAATCATGACTCGTCATCCCGAACATCAGTGATAATCATCATTATGCATCCTCAGCATCGCCATCACGATGACAATCATGACTACGCATCTTCTGCATCTCCAACCGAGTCTAACGGGACACTTGAAACGTGTGTCAAACACACAAAGACGATGACGATGATGATGATGATGAGCACGAGGATGACGATGGTGTCAGGACGATGACGATGATGGTGATGACGATGACAAGCGTGATGATGATGAGTTGATGACAGCAGGCATGGTGATACTTGTCACGTGTCTTCCCACACATGACTGATGATGATAATCATGACTATGCGTCCTCACCATCACCAGCAGTCATGATGATGATCGTGAGCCTGCGACAGCTGCATCTCAATTGCACTTTGACGAGACATGTGAACGTCTATTATCAACAAGGCGAGGACTACGATGATGATAAAGATGATGCTGATGATGGTGAATCATCACTACGCGCGCCCCAACATCACCAGCAGGGAGGATGATAGTCATCGCGACTCATCCCCAACACGAGTGATGATGACAGTCATGACTATGCATCGTCAGCGTCGCTCTAGCGGGAAACGTATACCAAAAAGATGAGGGCGACGAACGATGATGACGATGAGAGCGATGATGATGACCATGTATGGGCGACGACGATGATGATCAAGACGAGCAGCACGACGATGGTACCAGCAGGGCTGATGGTAACCATCACGACTTACCCCCAACACCAGTGATGAAGATAATCATCACTATGCGTCCTCAGCATTACCAGCAGTCATGATGATGAGCGCCATGATTAACGATGGTCATGAGCACCATGGTGATGGTGATGCTGATGATGCTGAATCATCACTACGCATCCCCAACATCATCAGCAGTCATGATGACCTGCGCACCACTCCCTTATTCGAAAGCATAAACAATACATCACGGCGGCGAGACACGCTGCTGGCAGGATCAACCTAGCTTGGCGGTCTCCATGATGATGGGCACGAGGATGAGACGGATGAGGGTGATGTTGACGATGGTGATGATGATGATGATCATCATGATAATGATTATGCTGCCCTTGGACTGAACCGCCTTCCCGTGCGCATCCGTTTTGAGGAGAAGGGGTCGGCGGATATATGGGTAAGTGCGTCGCTCCTGAACGCTGGCAAAACCATCGCTTCAGAACGCTGAAACAAAATCGCTTCGGAACGCCGGAAAACGTACTAATCGCTTCGGAACGCTGGAAGTGCCACGTGCCACGCGCAGCACCGAGACACCGGCGAGTGCTTCGCTCTTAAACGCTGGGACAAGAATCGGCGCCCATGCATCCACGCGCCCACCTGCCCACAGGCCCACGCACTGCTAGCTGACGGATTTTTTCTGATAGCCTCGAAAAACCCTAAGACCTAAACCCTTTATCAACGTACTATAACATTAACAGCACCTGCCACCGGAGTCTGGATCAAGTGATTTGGGTTTCGGTTGTAGCGCCCCACTTTTTCGTGAAGTTGTTTGAGCTGTGTCAGGTTTATTGCTTCAGGTTCATTTGATTACAGAGCTTCAGCGGGTGTGCTTATCATGCCCCCCCCCCCCCACACCACCCCCCACCCCCAGAACCAGATGAATTTGCACATCTGGTTACAGAGCAGGCTGGGCTGGTTCACTTCAGCGGGTGTGCTTATCACCCCCCCCCCCCAGAACAAATTGATTGGATTTTGCACACCCTTGCTGGTGAAGCAGTTCAGCGGGTGTGCTTATCATGCCCCCCCCCCCACCCCACCCCCCACCCCCAGAACCAGATGAATTTGCACATTTGGTTACAGAGCAGGCTGGGCTGGTTCACTTCAGCGGGTGTGCTTATCATCCCCACCCACCCACCCACCCAGAACAAATTGATTGGATTTTGCACACCCTTGCTGGTGAAGCAGTTCAGCGGGTGTGCTTATCATGCCCCCCCCCCCCCCCCGCCCCACCCCCCACCCCCAGAACCAGATGAATTTGCGCATTTGGGCAGCAGGTGTGCTTATCATGCCCCCCCCCCCACCCCCCAACCCCCACCAGATGAATTTGCACATGTGGGTATAGAGCTTCAGCGGGCCCCCCCACCCCACCCCCACCCCCAGAACCAGATGAATTTGCGCATCTGGTTACAGAGCTGGTTCACTTCAGCGGGTGTGCTTATCACCCCTTGCCAGAACAAATTGATTGGATTTTGCAAACCCTTATCATGCCCCCCCCCGCACCCCACCCACCCCCAGAACCAGATGAATTTGCGCATTTGGTTACAGAGCAGGCTGGGCTGGTTCACTTCAGCGGGTGTGCTTATCATCCCCACCCACCCACCCACCCAGAACAAATTGATTGGATTTTGCACACCCTTGCTGGTGAAGCAGTTCAGCGGGTGTGCTTATCATGCCCCCCGCCCCCACCCCCAGAACCAGATGAATTTGCACATTTGGGTATAGAGCTTCAGCGGGTGTGCTTATCATGCCCCCCCCCACCCACCCCCAGAACCAGATGAATTTGCACATTTGGGTATAGAGCTTCAGCGGGTGTGCCTTATCATGCCCCCCCCCCACCCCACCCCCCACCCCCAGAACCAGATGAATTTGCACATTTGGGTATAGAGCTTCAGCGGGTGTGCTTATCACCCCCCCCCCACCCCCCTAGATTTTGCACACCTGGGCTGGGACGCCTGCCTGCGTACGGAAGTGATCCTGGGCTGGGACGCCTGCGTTCGGAAGTGATCTTTTTGACTGACCGGGTTTCGCAACCCTTTCGGCGTTCCGGGTGCTCAGTGTTTTGAAGTGATTTTTTTAGTGTTCGGAAGTGATCGAAAGTGGCAGCGTTCACAAGTGATTTTTTTTAGCGTTCTGAAGTGATTGTCTACCGATATATGGTAATTGATATATGGGCATGACAAAACCCTAACCAGGGCTGAAGTGCGACTCCAGGAGACAACCTTGGGAAAAAGAGGCAGCAAACCGAGTGCCAAGTGCTTGACAGCACGCCGTTTTGGCATCAATGCCGCCAGTGTTTGAGCTGGCTGAGGTGCAGGCAAGTTTCTGCAAAAAGTGGATCAGAGGCAGACCGCCTATCAGTAGCTTGAAGCCGCCCTAACTGAGCAAAGGAGCAGCAGTGAAAACCAGGCTGCGAAAGCCACAAGGTGAGACGGGTTGGTGTCAGATTAAACCGGATCCTGGAACATGATGTTGAAGTGTTGTTTGGCCCACGCAAATGCTGTGAAATGGCGCACGTGGACACGTTAGTGTGGTTGCATTGGCAAGGGAAGTACGCGCAAGGAGTCCAAAAGTTCGCGAAGGCAGATCAGGCTCATCCACCTAAGGCGTGTAAAAAGAGTCAGCAGAGCCTGCGAACGAGAGAGTAGGGGTGTGGAGGTGCGCGAGGCGGTTTCGCGAGGCGACTTAAGAATTCAGCGCAGTGGCACTTGGTTTCGGCCGCCGACTGACTAGGGCCGCCCGGAGTCAGCACGCGTGTGTGCCCCGAAAGCAAGGGTTATTTGTGCCCTACCTTACAACTCACCTGCAAACGTGTGGCATTTGGGCGCGGAATGTTGAGCATTGTGCCAACCACCGAACATTGTCTCAAGATGCGTGCCCGATGCAATGTGCGTTGCAGACGCCAGGCAGCATTGTAAACAAACTGTTTCATGACGGGGCGCTCGTATACAAAGCTGCAAGGCTTTGCTTGACCAGCAGGTTGAGCAACCCTTTGGAGGGTTTCTGAACGCCCCCATAATCCAGGCCTCGGATCCTTCTCTTAGTAGCCCATAGTGGACGGTTATCAATTCTGCGACAGATACCGTTTGCGGCTGTAGTTTCATTTCGCGACAGCTGGGAGTGGCAACTATCCTTCGACATTCGTCAAGGGGAACGCACCTTTGGCACTGCAATTCGACGCATCGCCAGTCGCCGGCTTGCTGGAGGACGAGAGTTGCATGTTGCGCGTTGGCGCCTATCAAGGTCTGATTTTGGTTGTAGATCTTTGCCACAACCATGGTAAATAGGGCGAAGGTTGCTTTGGCTAGCTAAATCATGTGCGCAACGGGATCTCTTCATGTTGGACGGAAACACTCCGTGGCACATTTCAGTCCATAGGAAGCGCAGTCCATTGCGACGAGGCCATGCAACCACCTCAGATCGGGGGAAGCATGCTTTGATTATTTTTGGGGTCCGAAGCGAGTGGGTACCTTTATGTTGGACCCATTTGTGATCCGCTTTAAGGGAGCAGACGAAGAGAACTGCGGCGCGAATCGGCACCATGTCTTTCTTAGCAGCAACCATGTCAGGCTGCGTTTGAAAACGGGCAACTTAGTAAAGTTAGTAGTTGGGCCCGCGGTGTCCAACCTTTAGACCTTCGCACTGTGTTCTCAATTGTTGCTTGCAAACAGTTGGTGTCTCAAAATAGGCCGGTGTCGCTTGTAGCGCCAAACATTATTTCAGGGCTGCCGCCCTGTGCCGTCGGCCCCTGCTTGCTGACAGGGGACGTTGTTATGACACTTATGACTACGCTTTTTTTGTGGGGCTTAACGGCACACTTAAAGCAAGTGTGAAAAATTAGAGCACCGCGATAATGATGATGTTTTTGATGATGCATTTGTTTACCCAACACTAGGGATGCTGACATTTATTACTAGGCATTCGCATTATCGCCAGCAGTTATGATGATAGTTGTTACCTTGCATTTCTAGCATCACCAGCAGTTGTTTTGATAATTATGACGACGCATTCCCTGCATCTCAAACAAGCCACTGCGGATAATTTCGCATGATAATAAGCACCTTGTAGAATTTTACAAGAAGTGCCTCGGGTGTGTGGAAACTCGGGAAGGAAAACCATGGCGGGGGCCTGTTTTTCTTCTCAAGATTGTGGATGCGAAGTGTGGACTTTGTGCCATCGCTTCGTCTTCGCGAGAAGTAAGCCGTTAGGAACACCGCGGGATGCAACCAGATGGTGCTGGTGATGATTTTCATGATGATGATGAACTAGAACCTCCGGCGTCACCAGCAGTTATTATGACAATCATGACTACGCATCCCACGCATCTCAAGACAGGTCTAACGGCACACTTGAAATACATGTGAGTGGAAAAAGAAGAGCGCCGCGCTCTGAAGCCCCTCCCACTTCTTGCCCAGGTATTTCACGCCAGACGGTGAGACGCGGGTTTGTGGAGCTGACGGGCTCAAACAAAAACAAGAAGACCCGGCCAGGCCCCGGCCTCAGCGTAACCTTTGTCCATGCCTGCGGCAATCATCACTACGCATCCTCAGCAGTTATCATGACTATCATGACAACGTATCCTCTACATTTCCAGCCGGGTCTACAGGCACATCTGAAACGTATTTAAAAAAGAAGCGCGTCAAGGTTTTGATGAACATGATGAGGAACATGGTGATGCAAATGATGATGATGAACATGATGATGATGATGATGATGATGATGATGATGATGAACATGACGAAATGATGATCATTATCATTTTCATCATCATGTTCGTCATCATCATCATTTTCATCAGCATGGCGCTCATCATGTTCATCATCATCATCCTGATGATAATCATCACTACGCCTCCTCAGCATCACCAGCAGATAACGTCATCACTATGCGTCCCCAGCATCAGGAGCAGTTATCATGACAATCATGACAATGCATCCTCTCCAGCCGGGTCTAACGGCATACTTGAAACGTATATGCAAAAGAATAGCGCCGCAGAAATGATGATGATTCGAATGCTGTGAACCATCACTCAACATCAGTGGTGATGATAATCATCACTAAGACAAGGACAAAGGCAACCCTTTCCACGCGCCTCCCCTTTGGAGAAACGGGTTGGCGGATATCACGAGCGACGTACATATTTCGGGGTGTGATCCGCGCAGGCGTCGAGCACCTCGACGCCAAGCGGCGCGGCCCTGAGACTTGCCTTGCAAGCCCCGAGAACCCTCGCCGCCCGTTTGGGATGAGCCGGCGACGGATTTAGCTGATAGGATTGAGCGCGTGTAAAAGTTGCTCCACCCCCACGCCGCCAATTCTCTTTTTGCTGTCGAACTTTTGTGTGACTTCGGGATCCATAAATGTCGCCCCCTAAAATCTCAATACCAGCATGTAGATCTGTAATTACCGCTATTCTGATCCCAAAATTCCGGTGTTTTGATTTTCGAATACCGGTATTTAGACCCTGGATCTAAGATCCAAGATTGCTGGGAGACTTCTGAGGGGAGTCTTGGATCCAGCAATGCTCATTTAGACTTCGAAGTACCAGTATTAACATTTTGGGTGCAATCCTGGATCCCAGATTCCCCCCCAGAAAAATCCGCCACAAATGTTGATCTTCGACGCAGGATCAGAAAAACAAAACTTTAGACATCTTGGCTCCTGTGTTTAGATTTCAGGGGTTGCATTCACGAACCCAACAACTGCCTCAACAGTCCCCCAACAACCTTGGATCTTGGACACTGGGTGTGAAAATACCAGTATTTAGATATCAGGGCAGACATTTGCGAATAGAACAAGAAGAGAAAGTCCAGCAGAAGTCCAGCGTTTTGGATTCAAATAATGCATCGAAAAGTTTAATTTGTACTTTCAGGGGCATGTTGACAAGCAAGTGTCACATAATGTGCCATCTTCATTGTTGAATGTCATTTGTTTCTGGAGTCAGGGTTCTGGGCAAGGCTTTCCTAGGCAAGTGTGAATCTTGCGCAGCCCCGCTTCTGTAACGTCCCGGGGTCTGGCGTGTCATGTCATTGCCCAAACCAGACTACAACTGCTTCACACACAAAACTTCCGTCTTAGAGTGATTGTGATGCCTCTTTCCTGGAGCTAGGAGTTTGGAGAAGCCTTTCTTGGGCAATTGTGAATCTTGAGTTCAGAAGCTATGCGTTTCTGTTGCGCAACAGGTACCCAGATTTTCTGTTCTGCCCACAGAAACTTGCACAAGGACATTGCGCAGAAAGACCCAGCTTATTCTGCGCGGCTAATTTGCTGTGCGAACCAAATCCTGCCTACAACAAAGTAAAAGGTGTTTTCTGGCACAGCCATCGGCGTCTCCGCAACATCTATCACGACATCTACGAAGCCGCAACCGTCATGTTGGGGATGCGTAGCGGTGATTCATCATCAGCCTCATCATCACCATGGCGCTCATCATCATCATCATCGTCGTCCTTCTTTTTGATTTACGTTTCAATTGTGCCGTTAAACCGGGCTTGGGACCTTGGGACGCAGGAGAGCGTAATCACGATTTCTATCATGACTGCTGGCGGCGCGGAGGATGCAGGATGACGATTATCATCTCACCGCTGTCGGGGATGAGTAGTTACGATTATCATTCTCCATGGTGGTGATGTTGGGAGTGCGTAGTATCATCATCAGCAGCAGCATTGTCCTTATCTGATTGCTATGCGTTACAAGTGTCCCGTTAGGGCGGACTTTCTATGGCAGATTCCGCCTCCGCCTACCATAGCGGCGGAGTAACCACGAAAGAAGAGACCATTAACTTGCCAAAGCGCAGAACGGCCCCCATCGTACGATTGCCGTGTTAGTTGGTTTCGGTATGGAGGTCGGGCAAGGGGTTGGGCTACATTCACTGTTGTAGAAGGACCTTGCTGAAGAACCGGTTTACCGGCAATGCCCTGGCGCACCGCGAGTCGCTTGACGACAACGGACTCACGGAACTTAAGTCAGGCTCTACGGCAGCCCCATCAGCTTTTAGCCCACCATTGCCTGACCCGTCAACGGACATGTCAGCAACTGCATTCGTGGCCAGTTCGGCGTTGCAACGTGCCCAACATGCCGCAAGCGTTGCTGATCAACGGCCGGGGGCATGCAGCAGGCCCGGCAAAGGCGACGGGAGGTGTTGCCGGCTGCGCGCCAACAAGGCAGCAAGCAGTTGAGCGCGCAGCAAACGCTCGCTGAACAGGCTAAGTGTTAAGGCGGCAACAGGAGGCGCGAGCGAGATTTCGTCAAAGGATCAACCCACGAATCTAGATGCGTTGGGTGGTGATTGCTCCTTGATGGTGTTTCACCCTTTGCGCATCAAGTTCCAGCGCAAGCTGCAGCGTCACGTCCTACGATCAGACGCCGTTGGGGGTGATCAACCGGCGGGCCCCCAAAGCAAGAGCCTTCCAACGCCTCACGGGAGCCGTGTCATCCGAAGGATGCAGCTCAGGACGCATCGGGTAGTTTAGGCAACAATCCTGAACCCGCGCCGCGTGTGCCTGTTGGTTTCCCAAAATCTTGCGGCGCCCAGCAGCCCGCCGATTCGTCGCTGCCAAACCAAAGCGGACGGTGAGCCACGTGCGCAACCACGAGGCGCATCATCTGCCGCTCAGACACAAGGTCTTGGGGATACTGGAGACGTCCAGCGACAAACTTCCTGATTGACCTCTGACTGAGTTGGTTCCGTTGTTGACTCGTTTTCAATCACTTTCACTTGGAGCGTGTTCGAACAGGCGTCCTTGGTGAAAGCAATCGGCCGGTAGTTAGCCTAGAGGGTTTTCGCGAGAAGTATTTTTACATCACCCGTGCGCCACCTCTTGACGAGCAACCCTCGGAACGTACCCTGTTCAATCAATAGCCACCGTCGCACGGCTCAATGGCCTTGGGCGACGGCAGGCGGAGCTGCGGGGTACTATACTTTTGGAACTAAGAGTTGCGACTTTGCAACCGGAGCTGCAGGGACGTACTTCGAGTACTATTTTTGTGCTTGAAAGTTGCGACTTTGCAGCTTGATCCCTGCAGGCGGCCGCGCAGACGGAAGATTCACACGGGACCACAGCGAGAGCGATCTGACACGCGCAATCCCCGCAGAGCAGAAAACTCACAACAAAAAACGCAAGTTTTTGCACCTCGAACACGCAGAGGGTCACGTGAGCACCGCAGACATCTCAAAAAAAACCCTCTTGCGCATCGAACACGCCGATCCCCGCAGAGGGCCGCGCGAGCACGGCGAGAACCAGAAAAAACCTTCAGTTTTTGCGCATCGACCACCCACGCCTCATCCCCGCTGAAGGTCGCGCGGGCAAGTTGCAAATCGAAAAAAACTTGTTTCTGCACACCGATCGGCTGATCTTGCCATCGAGTTTGTGGAGAAAATGCCGCTCAACCCAAAGAGGAACACGATTCCCTCCAATCGCAGAGCCGCGAAGGCAAAAGTTCCGCGTGTGTTTTACACCTATGATTTGCGTAGGGCAAAAGCCACGCGCTTTCCTCCACGCCAACCTAGGGTCAACACCTCCAGGATTGTTGAATATGTCTCGCAACACGATGAGGTTGTCAATCCATGCAAACCTGCGGCCAATCAACGTTGTTGGTTCCTTCAACATTGCTGATTCGCTATCCTGTATCTCATTAAAAAAGGTCCTGCTGCTCTGTCTCTGTCAGCAATCCCAAGAATTTTCCGTTCTCTTCCGATTTGACAGCAGAAGTGAAGGAGCGGCTCCTTGAAGGTCTGCAGGCTCTGAGCGCAAGCCAGCCACGCCTGCTCCGGACAAAAGGTCTGGACCTATCAACGGACCCGCCTGTTCCTCCGGATTCAGATGTCGGCTTGCAGAAGCGGGTGAGCTCCGTGATGAACCTCCCCTTGGCCTTGGGGCTGAGGCCGCTCTCAAAGAGGACTTCAGGCTCACTTTCCAAAGAACCCCTGTTGAAATGTCTGCAACTTGTCTCCCGCAAAGCGCGGAGGCGGAGTGATGACACGCTTGATTCTCCCACCGCTCCGTTTCAGCAACTCGCAACTGATCTTAGCAAAAGGTGATCAGCGTACGGGCGGAACCAAATCACACCACGTTGTGAGGATGTTTTGGCAAGACGGTCGCAAAGACGTCGCTTCGTAGGCCTGGTAAGTCAAAGGAACTTGCTCCGCACCATGACGAAGCGGGAGAGTCGCAAGCGCAGCTGAGGAGGTTGGGGCGTTTCCCGAAACTTCCTTGCCCAACCTTCTTGCACGCATGCTCCTATCCTTTTGCTTGCCTCTCAATGTGTTTTGACCGGCCCTCGGGTATTGTGTTTTGACCGGCCCTCGGGTATTGCACTTCTGTACTCAACGCAGGTTTGCGCCGAGTACTTTGTCTATGTTTCCGACCGCTTCTTTGAATTTGGCAATCCTGGGGTCTGGCGCGCTGTCATAGAGCAACATGTGCGCAAAAGTGCCCAGCTGCGCTGTGTGTCTGAGTGCACAAGGAGCGAGGCAACCGTGCCCGTAGGATATGCAGCTGACACGTTTTGTTGCCTACAAACTCTTCCTCAACATTCATCCGACGCAGGCCTGCCAGGACATCCGGACAAAACATCCCGTTGATGCTGTTTTGCCCAACCAGCAAAAAAGCCGTAACCGCCATCAAAATCGCTGTGTCCTAGCAGCGCCGGGCCTGCCAGTGTCCCAAGCGGCGCAGACGGATATAGCTGGGGCGCTTGCGATCTTTTGGGCCTGGTTCCTTCCAAAGCGGCGCGCCCCACGTGTGCGGATAACACCGCAAACGCGTTGCGTTTGCACATTTTTGCAGATTCTTTGTGCGGGGAAGCAGTCTTCGTGTGATTGGCTTCTGGTGTGCGCTTGTGCGAGCGCTCGCGCACGCACGCCTGCGCACGCCCTGCAGCCAACCAGCGCTTCTGCTGGCTGCGAAGCCCTAGGGCTGCACAAGCACTGTCTCATGCGCAACGAGCTACGCCGTATGCCACTTCCTACATGCTTCTCTCGGCTCGTGCTTGAGTTGTTAGGCATGGGTGGAAGTGGCAGATTGCCTGTCGCGCGCAGCCCTTGCAGGTAGAGGTCAGATTGAGGGGCAGGTCTCGCGGCCACGGATGCTTGACAAGTGGCAGGGCGCTGTGTCAAAGCCAGCGCAGCGACCACGACAGGCCGCAATGCGGCATGGTGCAAGAAGATGGCTGCTGTTTCTCATTTTTTTGGTAGGCGTACGATGGGGCAAAGTGCGCAGCTCATCCGTGCGTGGCCCAGCCGGGCGTAGCGGCCCTGCTGCGGAGGTGAAACATGCGAGCCCAACACCAAGGTTGGAGTTGCCATCGTCGAAGTTCTTTGGATGGAGGGTCACCCTATGCAAACTCTTTTGCAAATGAGACAGCCCGAGCGCCGTCGACCTTTGCTTCCTTTTATGACCTCGGCCAAAAACCAGCTTGAAGGAGTGTCCCAGTAAGCCCGCAACAATTCGGATTGAGTTTTCATAGTTCAAACGCGAAGGAACGCAATATATAGCCATCGCCACTCGCGCGTGGTTCTTGCTGAATTTTTTTTAGGTGATGTCGCGGCGAAACTCACATCTAAGTGCCTGATGCTCGTGCCTTTGAGGTCTGTCAATGCTGGGCCCTTTGCGATTGAATGCAAACGACCGCAACTGACCAGTCACACCTCGGCGCATGTGTTCGGGGTTTTCGTGGACCTTGGCGCCGCAGCCGTCTGCCTTGTCCCCAGGCGCGCTAGAGAGCAGGCAGTGCTCTCGCAAGCCTGTGCGCAACACGGGCCTCTGCGCGCAGCCCGCGCCTTACTGCCAAGCCTTCTCGCTTGAAGTTGTTCCCTGGAGAAATCAGCCTAGTGTTGAGTTGCGGCCGGCCACAAGCCAATTCTCACACGGGCGCAGCAACGCGACCTAGGGTTCTGTGCTTGTTGCGTAATCAAAAGCTGGTTTTGAGCGGGGGCCAGGAAGAAGATGCGGCGCTTGTCTACTGTCAAGTAGGGAGGGAAAACTTAAGCCAACGCGCCCATGAGTCTATGCGTATGTCGACTGTCTGCGGAGGACAAGATACGCAGATGTTGCTTCCTGCTTGAAGATCGTCCTGGCTTTTGTACTGCCACCGCTTCTGTGAATCCCATGTTTGACGGGCCCAACTCAAAGCAAGCCTACTCATTAATCATTTGTCAGAAGGAAACCTCCGCAGTGTGGAAGCAAGTTGACAGGCCCCTTGTGCAGATAGATGGCTGCGGCGTGCAGATCCGATTGCGCGTGCGCGAGGAAGGATAGAGCGCGAGAAAAATACGTGGCCGTTTGGCGGGGGAATAGAAGTCGCGGAAAAAAAGAGGCGCTATGCGGATTTTGGCGGGCCCGCGTCAGTGTCAACCGCCGCCGCCTCTGTCTCGTCGCCTGTCTGGCGTGAGCGCCGCGCGGCTTTGGCGCGGGCGTGGCAGGCGCAGCACTTTCGCCGGCAGGCGCAGCATTTCGCCAGGTTAGGTGGCGCTTTCACAAGGCCAGGGGTGGGTAGACACAGAGAGAGAGAGAGAGAGAAAAAAAAAAAAGAAAGATCTCTCTGAGAGAGAGAGAGAGACAGAAAAAAAAAGCTCTCTCTCTCTCTCTCTCTGTGTCTCTCTCTCTCTCTCCTCTCTCTCTCTTTCTCTCTCTCTCTCTCCCTCTCTCTCCCTCACTCTCTCTCTCGCTCTCTCTCCCTCACTCTCTCTCTCTCTCTCTCTCTCTCTCTCTCTCTCTCTCGCTCTCTCTCTCACTCTCCCTCACTCTCTCTCTCTCTCTCTCTCTCTCTCTCTCTCTCTCTCTCTCTCTCTCTCTCCCCCCCCTCTATCTATCTGTCTCTCTCTGTCTCTCTCTGTCTCTCTCTCTCTGTCTCTTTCAGGGAGAGAGAGAGAGAGAGAGAGAGAGAGAGAGAGAGAGAGAGAGGGAGAGAGAGGGAGAGACAGAGAGAGAGAGAGGTTGAGCGGGAGATCCAACACACAGAGGCAGGGGCGACAGAGAGAGAGGGAGATACACAGAGGTATAGACAGAGAGAGAGAGAGAGAGAGAGCGTGGGCGAGAGGGTTGGGAGAGAGATAGAGAGAGAGAGAGAAAGAGAGAGATAAAGAGAGAGAGAGAGAGAGAGATTGAAGCGAAATACAGACAAAGGAGCGAGGGGAAGAGAGAGAAAGAGAGAAAGAGAGAAAGAGAGAAAGAGAGAAAGAGAGAAAGAGAGAAAGAGAGAAAGAGAGAAAGAGAAAGAAAAAGAAGGCGCGTTTCCGCGCCTGCTTTACCTCCGTCAGCTTGCACTCGGAGAGCACTGGCAACTCCGAAGAGGGTCCGGAGCCATGGTTCACGCGACCACGGTTGGGAACAAAGACCGGAAGATACGGGCCGAGGGTCCAGCGAAAAGCTGGTGTTGAGGCACGACCTGGCCACCTGTGCTAGTGCGTCGCGACGATGCTCAAACGAAAACAGGTTATACCGGCGGAAATGTGCAGCCGGCAAACGTTCGGAGCGGTGTGGCCTCAATCGAGGTTGCGTAGCACACAACGGGGTCTAGTCGGCCTGTGAGTTGCGGTATCTCGAATTGTTTGGCAATGGCCAGGAGTGGGCACTAATCCGGCCGGCTGGGTCGAGTAGCCCCAGGAGGCCTTTTTTGGTGCCAGGTCTTGTATGCTGTCACTTTTCTCTACCGGTGTGAGGTCGCTCCTGTGACTCCTCCTTCAGTCAATCAAGGAACTACACGGTGATTTTGGGAAGTACCATTAGGCTGGTTTGAGTGGCCGTGTCGTTGTGGGTGGCTTGAATTGATTCCTTAGTTTCGGCGGCAAGTGACTCTGGCAACTCCGAAGAGGGCCCAGAGTTCCCGTGTCCACAGTTGGGAAACGCGCAGAAAATTGCAACATCAAAAAGGTGAGGCGGACCAGAAGCCCGGAACAAAAGCAGGTGTGAGCATCAGCTCGGCCAGGGTCATTCCTCCAAGGCACATCCCGTGACACCACAGTTCAAGAGGAGACTCACAGGCCAGCAATGTTACTTCAGCGGGCACCCGTAAGCGTGCAAGCAGCCGTACGGGCTGTCAGAAGCTCTCGGGTCAAAGCCAGCCCCCTCACGGCGACCCGCCGGTTTTTAGATTTTGCGTTTAGCGCAGCATGACAAATCGCAGGTGTGGTCCTCGGGTCAAGGCACAGGGCAGCCGCACACAAGGTAAGCGCAGGCGAAGTGCCGCGCGGCGCATCTGTGGTTTTGCCGCATACTGTCTTGCCTCACAGGCGGTTGTCGTCGCTGCGACAGGCGCTGGCCGCAAGAGCTCGAGGCGGTTTGACACTCACAGACAGGCGGTTGCTGGCACTGCGGCAAGCGGCGGCCACAAGACGGAGCAAAGCAAAATTGCAAAAAGGTGATTGGTTGTGGCTGGCTCGCTGCATGGCTGGTGGCTCAATTGGCCCCACAACATGTGGACCTTGGCCGGTCTTTTCAAGATAAAGTCAAATTCCACTGTCCACGCATGCCACTTGTGCTCAAGTTGCTGATGCGTTCGCCGCCAGCAAGGGGCGCGGTGTGGGATGCTCAAGTCAGTAGCGCAGAACACAGGCAAAAACGATCCATCGCTTTGTGAGGGTGCCGTAATTCTTTTGGCCCGGCGCAAGTTCTCGAAGGCTTTGGGCACGCTTGAAGAAGACCTTGTGGCCGACTGCGAGGAGTTGGTCGGCTTGCAAGGACCTTGCTTGGCGCCAGCGCCTCCTCTGGCGCATCGGCCAAGGAAGTGAAGGCGGAACAGGCCATCTTGCCTGCTGAACAAGCTCTCACTGACGCCAAGCAGGGCTTGACCAAGATCAACAGCCTCCTGGGCTCACTCAAGAAGTTGCGCGCTCAGATGCGCGGCGCCAGCGTGACGGAGTTCAAGAGGCCCTCGCTGCGAACCTCACAAGTCTCGAACGTTTCCGTGGTGCCCCCGCCATCTCAGTAAGTCCAACTGCACAAAGTTTGTAGAGTCCACGTCAAAAAGGCAGAGGACGAGGTGGCCGCGGCTCAGGTCACTCAGAAGAAGGTGCAGCAAGTCTCGCACGCTCTTCGTCACCTGGGGAGTTTCAGCCAGCTTCGGAAAAGAAAGCAGCGCTTGCAAGGATTGCGTGTTTGACATGCGAGAGCAAACGCAGATTTGGTTCATGAAGCTGACAGCTCCGCAATTCCCTGGTGCAGGAAGCTGACAGCTCCTGAATTCCAAAGCATGGTTTGTCTGTCCCAGCTCCAGCTGGAGCCCCTTGCGTACCTCCAACGCACATTGGAGATTGCAATGCGGTTGTTCCGGACATTCGCAAATCGCTGTACATGTTTTGGACCACCAGCCCTAAACGCAGCGTCGTGTCTGAAGCTTGGCCCACGGAACGCACGCGTTCGAATATCTTTGGCACAAGCTTGTAATCGTTTGTGCTGTCCCATCTTGCACGCCCACCGCTATGTGCCTGATGCATATTGTTCCTTGTGAAATCTGGGCATGTCACGGCAACGTAGGGTGATAGACAAGCCTGCCACCTTGGTAAAGAAGAGGTGGCTGGAGCAGCGCCTTGCCGCTCCAACTAGGCCCACGGCTGCAGAAGAAGACGAAAGGCCGTCTTCCAGCTCAGGCCCCTTCAGGTCAAGCTCTCGTCCAAAGACGTTTTCACGTTGGCGCGCAGCGCGAACGAAGAAGCCGCTGTCAGCGGGGGTGACTTGGCAAAATGCGGCGCGTCTGGCAAGCGTCCTCAGAATTTCGCCCGCGGCACGATGAGGCGCTTGCTTCAAGGCACGACTTTGCCGGAGATCTTTTCGTGGCCCATTCCTGTCTTGAACAAAGACAGCAAAGTCCACGATCATCCCTTTCTGCTTCCGCGCGAAATGTCCATTTTTTTCGGATTTTGACGGGGGCGAGATGCCCGAACTGAAGAGAGCCTTGCAAAGCAGGCTCTGTAAATGTAATCTTGCTGGCGAAGCCCTGCCACTAGGCATCCATGGCGATGGAGTCCGCGCACAAACAGGAGTCGATTGAAATCATTTCCTTCAACTTCCTGGCGCAGCCTTCTGGCAATCGCATTCCCATAGCGACCGTCAGCAAGAAGTATGTCGGACCCAACACGTGGCACGCTGTGATGCAAGTGATTGCTTGGAGTAAATGCTTCTTGTCGGATCCGTATCGAATTTCGGTCCAGGCGGCCAAGTTTTTGCGGCGAAGAAAAAACTGTCTGCCGGCGCGCATGTGTCTCGAAGGGCTATTCGTGTCAATACCGGGAAGCTGGCCTTTCCGCCGTGCGCTGTTTGCTTTCCTATCTTGGTCCTTGGCAACTATATCTTGGAAGTGTGAGGCTTCCCAATTTGGGGAGTATTCGTATATGGATACTACGCCGACGCCCACAGCTAGCCCGCTCCTCAAGTTCTACCCTGTTTCCACTTGGGTGACGCGGTGCTGGACTGGCTGCACGTTGTTCCGCGTGATGGAATCTTGAGAAAAAAAGAGCGCCTGCTGCTCAGGCTGCGAGGTCGCACCTGCAAAGGGAAAGGGAACAATGCGAAACAGCCACTTAACGGGTTTCCTTGGCTTCTTAATGAAAGGGATATATGGATGAAACTTGGCTCAGGAAGCGGCGTTCGCTCCTTCGGTCACGTCGTTTCGTAGTGTTGAAGAAGGACGCTTGGAGATCCTGGCTCTCTTTTGTTAATCCCCCAACAGCGGAAAAAAGCCGCATGCTGTTGGGGGTATCACCTGAGCTTATGGTTTACACGCTGTTTTGACTTAACGGGTTTCGCGCTGCACCTGTCGTTTTCGGCGCTTCTAGCGCTAGCAGTGCGGAAAGCAGCGTTGCTAGGGGATCTAATCGCTAGACGGGTCATCTAGTGTTCGTTTAAGTACCTAGACGGGTCATCTCCGGCTAGCGCTGCGGGAAACAGCGCTTCCGGAAGCGCTGGGAGCGTCGATCAGAAAAAGTGTCGATCAGAAGTGTTGACCAGAAGTGTCGCTCAGAAGTTTCGATCAGAAGTGTGGATCAGAAGTGTTGCAGAAGTATCGACCAGAAGCGTGGATCAGAAGTGTCGCTCAGAAGTGTCGTATCAGAAATGTCGATCAGAAGTGTCGATCAGAAGTCTCGCTCAGAAGTGTTGTTACACCAGGGAGAAACTGAAGGCCGTAACTACTTTGTGAGAGCGCAATGAAAACTCGTGAGTTTTCACGCTCTGAGTTATCTTGTCCTCACGACACCAGAAGCCTTTTTAGCTCATAGGGCCTATAAGTAACTCGCGACTTGGAGTCTCCGATCAGAAGTGTCGATCAGAAGTGTTGCTCAAAAGTGTGGATCAGCAGTGTGAGGGTTGCTCAGAAGTGCCGATCAGAAGTGTGGGTCAGAAGTGTTGTTCAGAAGTGTCGGTCACAAATGTCGAGCAGAAGTGTGGGTCAGACGTGTTGCTCAGAAGTGTCGATGAGCAGTGTGGATCAGAAGTGTTGGTCAGAAGTGTCAGTCAGAAGTGTCGCTCAGAAGTGTCGATCGGACGTGTTGCTCAGAAGTGTTCCTCAGAAATATCGATCAGAAGTGCTGATCAGAAGCGTCGATCAGAAGTGTTGCTCAGAGGTGTGAGTCAGAAGTGTGAATCAGGAGTGTCGGTCAGCAGTGTCGATCAGCTGTGTTGCTCAGAAGTGTGGACAGAAAGTCTCAATCAAAAGTGTGGCTCAGAAGTGTCGCTGAGAACTGTCGATCATATGTGTTGCTCAGAAGTGTCGAGCAGAATTGTCGATCAGAAGGCTCGCTCGGAAGTGTTTCTCAGAAGTATCGATCAGAGTTGTTGCGCAAAAGTGTCGCTCAGAAATATCGATCAGAAGTGTGGGTCAGAAGTGTTGCTCAGAAGTGTCGACCAGAAGTGTTTCTCGGAAGTGCTGATCAGAAGCGTCGATCAGAAGTGTTGCGCAGAAGTGTTGCTGAGAAGTAGTATCGATCAGGAGTGCGGGCCAGATGTGTTGCTCAGAAGTGTCGATCAGAAAAAGTGTCGATCAGAAGTGTTGACCAGAAGTGTCAGTCCAGGGTGTTGATCAGAAGTGTCGCTCAGAAGTGTTGTTACCCGGAGAGTCCAAGTCCCAAGTTACTCTGGCTTGTTTTAGCTAAGGTGTCCTCGGCCACTTTCGCTCGTTGGCAGCCCCAAAGCCGTGAAAACTCGGCCGAACGCCCGTCGTGAAGTTTCACGCTCTGAGTTGTCTTGTACTCGCGACGCCAAAAGCCTTCTTAGCTCGTACGGCCTATAAGTAACTCGCGACTCGGAGTCTCCGATCAGAAGTGTCGATCGGAAGTGTTGCTCAGAAGTGTCGCTCAGAAGTCTCGCTCAGAAGTGTGGATGAGATGTGTTGCTCAAAAGTGTGGATCAGCAGCGCTAGGGTTGCTCAGGTGTCCCGAACAGAAGTGTGGATCAGAAGTGTTGACCAGACGTGTCGAACAGAAGTGTCAATCAATAGTGTGGGTCAGAGGCTCCGCCACAAGCATGTGACCTGCGCCGAGGTTCGCAAGGTCACCCTCTCGACGGTCCATGCCCATTGTGATAGGGGCAAGCAGCAGCGGCTGCGCCGCCGCAGCGTGGCTCCAGGATTTTCACTTGGCCCTGGAAGCGCATCGTGGGGCTGGCGTTCCGGGATGCCGTGGTCGGCCGCGTGACCGGGTGTTTGCAGACTTGGTGGAGCCTGGGCCTTTTTTCCTCCTACATTCTTTGGAGGATTGGGACTACAGTCCAAATGTGCGGCATCCCTGATGAGATGGTGGGGGCAGGGGCGAAGCTCACGCATCACGAGCCCTAGGAGCTCGTGCCCCCAGCGGATCTGTGGGCTGGGCCGCTCCTCAACGGCCTAAAGAACTGTAGAAGAGGTTCGCACTCACCCAGAAGCTGAAGCGGATCGCTGAGGCTGCACGACCGGCTGCTACGCCCGCTTCGGTCAATGGCGGTTGTGCCCGGGCTTTCAGCGGCAGACTTGGTGTGATGAGGCGACCTGTGGCTTCGCGCATCTTTGCGCGTGCATTCGGCCGACAGGGCAAGCCTGTGGAGGTCAGCGTGCTGCAATGGTGTGCAGAGAAGAGAAAGTCGTTGTGGTGGAGGTGGCTGATTTGGCCGAGCTTGCTTGCGCGCTGACCCCCAAGTCAAAGACCATGCCCCGGAAGAGAGCAGCGTCGCCCAGGTGAAGCGGCGCAAGCGAGCGTCCCAGTGGCCCAGACAAAATCGGCAGTTTGATGCGCTGGCGGAGGAGCGTGCAGCCCAGGTGGCCACTCGCGTCGACAAGAACGCCAAGGGTGGTCAGAAAACGTCTCGATCAGAAGTGTACGTCAGAAGTGTCCGTCAGGAGCGCGGGTCAGAACTTTGTGAGAATTGTCCATCAGAGGTGCGGATCAGAAGTGTTGCTCAGAACTGTCGACCGGTAGTGTCGACCAAATGTGTTGCTCAGAAGTGTCGATCAGAAATGTTGACCAGAAGTGTCGCTTAAAAGTGCCGCTCAGAGGCGTCAATCGACAGTGTCGCGCAGAAGTGTTGCTCAGCAGTGCCGATCGGAAGTGTTGCTCGGAAGTGTTGGTCAGAAGTTTCAATCAGAAGTGTGTTGCTCAGAAGTGTCGTTCAGAGGTGTGATCAATAGTGGTGCTCAGGGATATCGCTCATTGCTCAGAGGCGTATATGTGTGTAGAAATGTCGCTCGAATCACTGCTCAGGAGTGCTGGTCAGAAGTGTCGCTGATGTGTGGAAATGCGGCTCAGAGGTGTTTTCAGAAGTCTCACTCGGGAGTGCTGCTCAGTGTTGCTCAGAAGTGTTGTTCAGAGGTGTCGCTCAGACGTGTTGCTCAAGAGTGCCGCTTGTTGCTCAGAGGTGTTCTTCAGAGGTGTCGCTCAGAAGTGTTGCTCAGGAGTGCCGCTTGTTGCTCAGAATTTCGTTCATACGTGTCGATCAGGAGTGTTGCTTAGGAGGGTCGCTCAGAAGTGTCGATCAGAAGTGCTGCTCGGATGTGGCGCTCAGAAGTTTCGATTAGAAGTGTTGCTCAGACGTGTTGATCAGAAATGTCACTCAGAGGTGTCATCAAAAGCGCCGAGGGATATCGCTCGTTGCTCACAAATTTGCCCAGAAGTGTCGCTCAGGAGTGCCGCTCAGTGTTGCTCAGAAGTGCATTTTTCAGAGGTGTCGCTCAGAAGTGTCGCTCAGGAGTGTCGCCGCTCAAAAGTGTCTCTCAGATATGTGTAGAAATGTCGATCAAATTGTCGCTCAGCAGTGTCGCTCACACGCGTCGCTTACATGTGTATGTGTGTGCACAAGTGTTGCTTGAAGTGCCAAAAGTGTCGCTTTTGTGTGTGTAGAAGTATCGCGCTCAGAGGTATGGAATAAGGGTTGTCGGACGATGATTGGGTGTGGCAACATGGCTTAGGAGCGTAATTCGGCAAACGGCTTGTAAGCGTGTTCAGAAGCGTCGCTGAAGTTGTCGCTCAGAAGCGTCGCCCAAGCTCTTGCTCAGAAGAGTCTCTCAAAAGTGTCAGTGACAAAAGTCGCTCGCGGGTGTTGTTGAAGAGTGTTCAGAAGTGTCCGTTGAATGGTCGGTCAGAAGATCAACTCGCAACTTTTGAAGTGCAAGTCTAGCACGCGGAAAATTGCAGAATTCCAGCTCCAGCTGGAAAATCGCAACTTTGTAGTACAAGCCTAGCGCTTGCTGGAAAATCGCAACTGTGTCGTGCCAGTCTAGTACGCAAAGTACAGGTTTCCAGCTCTAGCTAGAGCTGGAAAGTTCAACCCTGTAGCGCAAGCCTAGTACGCGATTTACAGCTTTCCAGCTTTTGGCTGGAAAATCGCAACTTAGCGCAAGCGCACGAAGCACACGTTGCCAGCCCCAGCTGGAAAATCGCGACTTTGTAGCACAAGTCTAGTACGCGAAGCGCAGCTTTCCAGCTCCAGCTCGAAAATCGCAGCTCTGCAGCGCAAGTATAGTGCGCGATCGCAACTTTTAAGTACAAGTCTAGCACCTGGAAAATCGCAACTTTGATGCGGAAGTCTAGTGGACGAAGTGCAGGTTTCCAGCTCCAGCTCGAAAATCGCAACGCAGGTTTCTATCTTCAGCTCGAAAATCGCAACTTCGTAGCACAAGCGCAACTTTGCAGCGCAAGTCTAGTACGCGAAGCACAGTTTTCCAGCTCCAGCTGGAACGCGTCTAGCGCGAAGTGCAGGTGTCCAGCTCCAGCTCGAAAATCATAACTCTGAGCGCAAGCCGAGTACGCAAAGTACAGCTTTACAAGATATAAATAGTTTGCGCAGTTGACTTGACTGCAAGTACCGCAAAATGTTCTCTTTATTTTTCTTGGGCTTGCGCAAAGTGATGTGCGTTCGGGTATGCGGGCTCTGTCTTGTTTTGTTTTTTGGTTGCTCTGCTGGCCGAGCTTGACCTTGAGGCGCAGCGGAAAGGCTACCCCACCAAGCTTGATGATGGAGCCGGACTGCGGACTTGCTCTGGGATTCTGTTTGCTGGTGAAAGTGTTTGGCTCGCGTCCTAGAATAGACCGCGCCAAGATCCTAAGCGTGTTGCAGCCAGGAAGACCCGGCTCCTGAGAACAAGCGCCGGGCCTACCCTGGGCGTTTCTGATGCGTGAGCAAGTCATGTCTGAAAGACATGGGCGTTTTGGTCAAACTTGGGTGAAGAGCTGGGAGTTGAAGGTATTGTGGAAGAACAGGGCTTGCGCTTCAGCAACTGCCAAGTCGCGTCTTGTGAAGCCTGAGCGCAAAACTTCCGAAGGACAAAGCCAGCGGACGCTGTCACAGTGGTGGATGTTGATCTAGGGAGCAGGCGAGGCGCTGCTTTGATGCGGGCAGGTAGCGGCGAAGCCAAAGCCTGCACCCTGCTTCAACTTTGCTGGAAGCACAGAGCGGCCTTTTCCAGCGCAGTCACCTTGGGAACACGGATCGGTCTTTAGTACTCATGCGTGATGGTTCAGGCCAGAAACCCACATGCAACCCCGAACACTTTCCCGCGCGTTTGTCTTCCCCACTAAGCCATGTGTTGCGCGCGCGCAGGCTCCTAGAAGGTCTTCGCAGGATTCATAAGACTCGCTGATTTTGCTTCTTCTTTTAGTTGACCAACTCTTGGTGTTGTCTGCCTTGGCTAAGAGAGGAGCGCATTAACGTGGGAAGGAAGCAGCTGAGTGTTGCTGCTTGGTATCCGGAACGCAAGTGGACCGAAGTATGATGGAGTTGTCCTCTGGACGGTCCTACAAGCCTTGCCCTGGAGACGCATTTTGAGCAATTTTGTTTGCGCGCGCGCAAAAGCCGCCCAGTGGATCTGCAGTCAATACCTGGGCGAGTGAGAGTTGGGGAGCGTACCAGAATAGAAACTTGGTTCTTGGTGATAAGGTTTTGCGCGCCAGGTTTTCACCATGCTGAGGGCTTTTGCACGGCGGCCTGCGCAGGCCTCTCTTGAAGCGCAGGCGCGCCATTGACACGCAGGCCCGGTGACGGGCCATTTGATTGGCCGCCTCAATCATGGCAACCCGCAGGCCCCGACCTTGACCGGCCAGTCTTCAACGGGCCAAGACCTGTTGTCAAACACCGGGTTTGGTGAGGTGATTGCCAAACTTGCTCTCAGACGTCTAGGCTAACGTTTACATGGCCAAGATTTTTGACTCAGCGCCCCAGCACATATGTTTTAGGATTGCCAAGTCTAAATTGAGATTCCCACCCAAATAAGTCCGATTCTCCAGCAGGCCAGGCCTTGTTTGTGTGACTGTTTGGCATGTTTTTTTGTGCGAGGGTTTCAATGTGTGCTTGAGGAAATGATGGCGGGGCTAGCGCAAAGTGCTGCGGGCCCCGTCCAACGAGGTAGTTGGAATGAGCTGGGCTGGGTGTGACGGGCCGGGAGACAGGGAGTTTGGCGAGAGGCCCGTGTTTGAGTTAGGATCGGGTGACACTGGTTGGGAAACCCTCTGATCTAAATCTCCCCGAAACCGACATTGTTGGTTTGGGGGCCACTTCAAGAGCAGGAATTCCAGACCCAAAGACCGTTTTAAACGCCAAGTCTTGGCTAGGTGTCTTGCTTGCGCACCAAATTTGGAAGAGCGCGTTTTGTATAGTAGGCACCTATTTGGAAAAGCACGCCCAACACTAATCGTGTAGCGAGACCGGCTACCGTTTTTTGCTTCCGAAGTGACGAAATGCTCCAATCTTGCGCGAGGGCTGTCATTGACGTTTCACCGGCTTGGGTTGCAAAACCTGCGTGTTGCCGGCTTGGGAGCATGCTCACAGTGACATGCTTTTTTTAGGCACCGTCCATCCTCAAGCAAAACCAAAAGAGGCACCAAACCTCACTCGCAAAACTGATCCGTTCGACTGGTTCCCACATAGACGCCGCGTAGTTAGAACAAAACGAGCGTTGCGCGGGGGGCGACACGAGAAACCCCAAGCCTTCCGGCAACGCTGATGGGTGCCCCTGCCACATCTAGCCATCATGGGGCGACTCGTTGGCCTGAGGAAGTACGCGCAATGCTCTTCCTGATGCGATGGGAACTTACAAGCAAACATGGCGTGGGCGGAATTGAAACTGCATGAGTGCAGCTGGGTATGAGCTGCCGGAGAAAACCCTAGCAGACCCAGCCAGAAAAGCATCAAGCGTGTGTTTTTTTCTTCTGTCATCTCACGCCAGCCCTCGGTCAGGCTGGATGAGCCTCCTTGCTCGTGGCAGGCCAGTTGCTTGACGTGATTCCAAGATAGCTTCCAAACCGCTACTCCCAAGTGAAAACTGGGTACAAAACCACACATGTTAGACCGTTACACAAGATCCACCGCTCCTTTCTCTTGGGGCCAGACAGAAGCTGCGTTTCTTCAAGGCCAGAGCGATTACGGCGCAGCCCCCGCGGCCTCGCGCTGATTTACTGTCGTGTTTTAAAGGTCACCCCTGCACAGGCTTTGGCCCCCAAAGTGTACTCTTTTCATGTGACTGGAGCTTGCGTGCGTTGCTTAGCGCTGCCATGTCGGTTGAAAAACACTCATGGTTCAAGAACGAACCAGCTCGGCATCCGACGACAGCTTTAGTGAAAAGAGCCTGCGAGCCATTGCGCCCGCACCATCGTTGTGGTCACGCACTAAGATTGCGCAGCACAAGCCCACCACACTTTTGGTTTGACACCGTGCTGCTGACATGGTCCATGAGAGATGTTCCGGGGTGGCTTTGACGAGAAGGGGAGGCAGCTGCAGAGTGTCCAGGGGACATGCAGAGCGGTGGACCATCGAGCGCCAATTCAAGTATCTGATTTGAAGGATGCGCCGCCGAACCTCGGAACCAAAACAAGAGTCGAGGACGACGAGGAGATCGCTGCGGGAAGTTTGGAGGAAGCTAATGCTCTATGAGTCGCGCTTGCGATAAGAGGGCTGGGGCTGTCACGTAAGCTTGCCAAGAGGCGAACAGAAAGGATGACCATTGATGAGAGGGCCGCGATAAGCGATTGAGGCGGACCGTGAACGCGCAAGAGCTGAGAGCCAAGCAGCGGGTTTCTACAGTGACAGACATGATGCTTTCAGCAGCAGCGAGCTTCCTAGTCTGGGTCGGGGAGTAGTTTTGTTTGAGGGCGGGTCGGCATGGGGGCTGAGTTTTTCAGATTCCTGGGGGCTGAGTTTTTCAGATTCCTGGGGGCTGAGTTTTCAGATTCTTGGGGGCTGAGTTGTTCCGTTAAATACACAAAAAAATGCCAAAAGTATAAGATCAAGACCTGTGACCTCTTAGATTTATTGGGGTGCGTTTTTTTGGTTTTTGTTTGGCTGATGACATGCAAGCACAGATTCATTTTCGATCCAATGAAGACTCAGATGCATCCAGACCTGGAAAATGAGCTAGCTTCAATCTGCACAGAAGACAGCCTGTTCAGAACTATTTTGCAGGATAATTGGCATGCTTACGCAGCCAAGTTTATATACCTCAGGGTGCTAAATATTGGAAGACGTATGTTTGGCACAAATCTTCAACACAAGTTGCACACGTATGCAATTTTTTGGAAGACGTATGCTTAGCAATCTGCAAGCAGATGTATGTTTGGGACAAATATTACTGTTGTGTTGCAATTCTGAAACACGTAAGTATGGCAAGCACAGCTTGCCACGCACATGAAATCATAAGAAAGGTAAGATATCGCTGATCTATGCAGCTTTCAGCTGCAACACTCAGCTCTTTTTACAGTTGGATGTTCAATATTTTTCAATGCTCTTGGGAAAAGACAGCTAACACAAACATATTTATCGCATAATGAGCTGGAGCAATTGGAGCACAGCTCCAATCTAGTTGCTTGAGCTCAAGAAGCACAAGATGCAAAGATGAGCACCTGCCACGATATCTGCAGATGCAAATAACATTCTCTGCGTAAAGCTGTTCAGCTTTGGAATAAGAGCTTTGGAATAAGATTCTCTGCAGCTATTCGTGTTGCTGAAGAGCTCTTGCAACAGTAAAGCTGTTCAGAATAGATTCAAGTAGACACTAGCCACAAGCAATTGCTTGTGATGAGATGTTACCTGCAGAAGATGAAATGAGAGATGAGATAAATTATCTCCAGTTACCTGGAGTTACCTACAGAATATCTTGGAAGAGGCTTATGTTCTGTTGATACACATAGCATCATATTCTTGATGTTTTGCATCAAGAAAGCTTGCATCAAGAAAGAATCAACAAAGTATTGTCTTCAGATGATGGGCTGTGTTTTTTGTTTGTTTTGTGTTTTCTTGGTGTTTATGAGCAAAGGCACCAAAAAACTACTAATGTCAACGACGTCTCTTGGAGATGGGCCGGTTTTCAAATTTGCCATATGCGCCTGATTTTGCCTAAACTCGTCAGACTAGCGCAAACTCCTTCTGAAGTGACAGGAACCTGCAAAATGAAGGGCGGGTTTGGGGTTCATTGCGTTTGTCATCTGAAACGCAACGAAGCGAGCACGTTGCTGCGCAAAAACCAACTGCGCGGTCACGCGGACACAGGAACATCACATCGCATTCCATCACATCACCTCACATCACATCGCACGACATCACATGGCGCCACATCACACCACATCACAGCACAACACATCACATCGCGTTGCATCACATCACATCACAGCTCATACCACCCATCACACGGCGCCACATCACATCATTACAGAAGCCCAGGCAAAGTGAGAGCTGAAAAGTCTGAAGACTTGAAGACTGGGCCCCGTCAAACCCTGTTCATTTGCAAGGCTACGGGTTTTTTAATGTCAGGAAGCTGTTTCTGCCTGTTGGTGTGATAGCTCAGGCAATTCAATAAAATGACCTCGTGGAGCTTTTGACTAGCTTGGATGCTGGCCAAAAAAGGCACCCGCAAGCAAAAGGACATTCCTTGGTCAATGACCTGTTTGTTGCATAGCCGGGCTTGGACCAAGCAAACCAAACCTTAGCACATCCAACCCGTCCTGATCAAACCTGATCAACACCATGTCTTGGCCAGTTTTGATCAGGCTTGATTTTGGTTGCTTTGGGGTAGGGACCAAGCAAAATCAAATCTGACCAATTTTGATCAAACCTGATCAAAACAGACCAACACCGTGTTTTTGGTCATGTTTGTTTTGTTTCAGGTTTAGTTTGGTTGGCGTGGGGCTAGCTAGACGGCAAACAGGTCATTGTACCAAGGGGTTTGCTGCTGCTGGCCCGTGTTCTAGAGATGGCACAACTCATGAGTTTTTCGTGTAGACAGGGTAGTTTTGAGTTTGCTTGGGCTTTGAATTTTCATGCACAGGGCCAGGGCTTTAGATTTTTATCGTGGCTCCCCTTCCCAGGAGCTACAAACATAGCGATGGGATGTGTTGTTCTGTGATTTGATGTAGTGTGGTGTGAGGTGCTGTAAGGTGCTGCGATGTGGCGTGGTGCGATGTGACGTGCTGTGATGCGGTGTGATGCGATGCAATGTGATGTGGTGTGACGTGTTGTTGCGCTGTGCTCTAATGCGATGTTGTGTGTTTTTACTGTGATGTGCCGGAGTGCAGCGTGATATGCTATGTTGCGATGTTATAAGGTGTGATGTGCTGCGATGTGATTTGCTGTGATGCGTTGTGATGTGATCTGGTGCGCGGTCTGATGTGATGGGCTGTGATGTAGTTTGGTTTGCGGTGTTAATTATGTGATGTTATTTGACGTGAGGTGATGTCATGTGAAGTTGCGTGTTGTGATGTGGTGCGATGGCGATGTGATTTGTCTTGTTGTGTGTCGATGTGTCGTGATGTGATGTGATGTGATGCGACGTGTGGGGCTGTGATGTGGTATGACTTGATGCGGTGTGTTAATTCTAATGCGATGTGATGGCGTGAGGTTTGAAGTGATGTGGTGCGGCGTGGTGAAGCTTCCAAAAAGCATTGGAGCAGAAGCACTCAGCCCTCGAGCTTGCATTTGGAAGAAAATCAATTCAGAATTTGTAGAGCTTCTTTTGGTTGCAGTAATGCTTTTGTCATTGATGGTGCTTGGCGCAAGCGCAGTTTTTCGTTGTTGAGTGTGATGCTTGATTTTGCTGTTAAAGGAGGACCCTAAGTGATCAATATATACCATGGGAAAAGCGCCTCTCAATAATAATAAAACGCTATTCAGTAGAGCAAGTGATGCAGAGTCTGGTTTCTTCTTGGAAAACCATTTCGAAAACACCCCATCGATGTAAATAGAACAGGCTAGCAATTTGTCGGTCGCAATCAACAAGCTGCCTTGGGAAACTGCAAACTTGGAACATCAAAGTTAGTAGAAAGCAAACAGCCAGATTCAATAGAAAACGCATGGACAACTAGCAATTTTATCAGTAGACACTTCGAGTCTTGAACTTCCAGTTTCCAATCGACAAATCAATCCAAACCATGCTTTTTTTAGAAGACCAAAAAGAACAAAAAGATGGGCGTTGTCCGGTCCTTGCACCATGTCGGCAGGACAGTTCGTCAATAGTTCGTCAATAGTTTGTCAATGGTCAAGCCCTGATTAGTTCGTCAACACGCCGGCAAAGTTCGCGCAATTTTGAGGACACTACTTCGTCAATGGTTCCTCTCCAAAACGGCACGAACTTTGCTGGCGTATTGACGAACCAATCAGGGGTTGACCATTGACGAACTATTGACGAAGTATTCGCGAACTATTGACGACTTGGAGAAAACGTCCCGCCCGAACATAGTTCGTCAATAGTTCGTCCATATTTTTGCTATGGTCAACCCCTGGTTCGTCAATAGTTCGTCAATACGCAGGCAAAGTTCGTACAATATTGACGAACTTTTTGCCCATTGACGACCATTGACGAACTATTGACGAACTATTGACAAGTTGGAGAAAACTTCCCGCCCAGACATAGTTCGTCAATAGTTCGTGCGTATTTTCTCTATCCTCAACCCCTGATTCGTCAATAGTTCGTCAATTTGCAGGCAACGTTCGTTCAATATTGACGAACTTCTTGCCCATTGACGAACTATTGATGAACTGTCCTGCCGATATATGATGCAAGGACCGGACAGCGCGCCAAAACAAGCATACTTCGGCAATAGTTCCATGAGCATCGGCTATTGATTCTAAGCAATCAAGTGCCATTTTGTGTATTTGTGCTTTTCAAAGAACCCAAACGTGGTTTGGGCTGTTTTAATTGGTTTGTCCGTTGGAAACTGGAAGTTCAAGACTCGAAGTTTCTACAGATACGATTGCTAGTTGTCCATGTGCTTTCTATTG